CTCCTTTGGTCGACAAACCCATCTCCCAATTCCTGCATAATTTCTTTTATATGTATATATATATATATAAGAAATTATTAGATAAATATGGATATTATTATTATTATTATTATTATTATTATTATTAGGGTATGGCGCCATGAGAAACACGAGCGGCGTGTATGGGTGCATTATTTGCGCCTTGATGGACGCTACCACCTACCGATTCGACGACACCCTCGTGATTCGCGCTCGTCGATCTATTGGTCAGCGACCCGCATCCGGTCGCAAACGTGCAACACGTGGCGGGCGACGTGGCACACGAATCGAGTCCGACGTCGGCAAAAGTCAAGGCCGACACGGTGGCACGGCCTCCGGTAGCGACTCGTGTCGTGATTTGAGCCCCGACAAGACGGGAACACTCCACGCCGATAAATCCTCGTGTTAACGATAACAGTCTCTTGAGACGGGTTTAGTCTCTAAGCATGACCGATCCCCAACATGAGAAGACAAGAGAGATCGAGGTGTGTATTCCGGTGGCTGTGGCTCTCAGTGTTTTCGTGTCGTGTGGGAGTTGTCAGAATCACTGCAGCCTGAGAAAGATGATGATAGCACGAGGCAATAGTTTGGCATTTCAATCGTAATTCATGTGTATTCGTGAGATCAAAATATAAAAAAAATCCCATGATATGTGACTTGTGCTTAGAAAGAGAAATAAGAAGATGGGGTCCACAAAAATGGATCTTCAAAACAAAGTGAATTTTTGGCACCATCTCATCCGCATTGCACCTCAAAATTAACCATGTGAAAAGGAAGGAGGGGTTGTTTGTCAGACATAATCACCACTAGGTTGGTTATCAATGAGGATATCAATCTTTGATTCTATTAATAGGTCATTAACTATGATAATATAATATATATGAATACCTTATTAAGCATTTTGAGTCATGTGATTAACTAAAATTAATGGATCAATTACTTCTATACACCTCTAATGGATCAACTAATGGACCTCTGCTTCATTACTTATCTATTTTTTAAATTTAAATTATATTTATCATTATATTAATGATTTATTGTGAGTCAATATAGCATTGCAAGCAGACTCTAACATCTGTTAACTCAGATTTAATAGAAAATACTTATATACTATATTTTTTAAAAAATATATATGTTATTTTAAGTACGAATAAATCATAAGGGCTTAAGTGATCTATGTCCAAATAACATGGGCTAAAATAGATCTTAATTTTTTTAAAATTTAAATTATACGTGTCATTATATTAATAGTTTATTATGAGTCAACAAGTCACGTAAGCAGACGTTAACGTTTATTAACTCAAACTTGACGAGAAGGATTTATATATTAAATTTTAAAAAATATATGAGTTATTTTAGACACGAGTAAACCATAAGGATTTAAGCGATCTAAAAATGAATCTTAACATAATAAATTTATTTCATATGTCATGATTATCTAAATTAAAATACTTTAATAATGGTAAGAGTTGGAATGATAAAAATAACTTCTCTCTGAATAAGATAGAGTTGACAACAATCTCTATTTATCATGCTTCTCTTTAATATGATAAGAATAGATAAGATGGTAGGTTTAATAACATTTTGAGCAATCATACCTTAAATATTAGTCTAATGATAGTACTCACTTATAAGTATTGATGATTCAAAATATCTAATATATATATTTTTTATTCTCGTCTTCATCGATTAATCTTTGCAAAAAAAAAAAAAAACATTGAGCAATTAAGAATCCAATGAACTCAAGAGTATCTCTTACAGCCCGTCCCTGTCCTCTGCTGAGACAAGGCCCAGCCTACTCTCTTAAGACAAATTGTTGCCATGGCTGCTCCACCTGATCCATTCATCCTCCATCATGGTGAAGCTTGAACTCTCTTCATCTATGCAAATGAAAGAAGGAAGCTAAACATAATGACATGACCTAATAACTCAAGAGCAATCTTATAAGATAAAATTAAGTAAGATGATGGTGTACAGTAGGAAGACAAAGAGATCCACAAAAGGATAATCCAAGGATTTCCAACTTATATTTCAAGAGCTTCAAGTGATCTTTCTGACCCCAATTACCTTAGTTAATGCGCACAGTGACATATTTTATATATGTCATGTCAACCTACAAAAGGACATGCATCCGCGCAATGATACATGAACACGAAAGACAAGCACGACCAGAGAGCGAAGGAAGGACAAAGAAATGAGAAGTCCCATCATCCTACGTGTTCTTGCTGACTCAATTATTCTGCACCGGTTTCTATCTCTCCAATTTTCCACTCATTATATAAAGGACCACTATTTTGATCTGCATCCAAATCATTCAATCAACAGCTGTTGCCACCTGCTAAGTCAAATCTTGGATCTGTTTGTGCAGACAAATAAGGAGCAAAATAACAGCCCATGCATGTCGATGAATGATCCAAAGGCAGGCCAAAGAGGCAGTTCAAGGCAGGCCATGGAAGAAGCTCAACCAGCAAGAGAAGCAGCGAGATATGCATTATGGAGCTGAGAGAGAGAGAGAGAGAGAGAGAGAGAGAGCGAGAGACAAAAGCACATGGGGTGGGAAGATTATCCAGAATCTTTCAGTCGCAATGCTACAGATGCTGTCGCTGTGGTCGCTTTCCGCCTTCTGGCCTCAGCGGCCGCATCTTGTCGCTCTTGTCTGCAGTCGGAGCGGTCTCTCACCGCTTCTCTCCCCACACTCGCAAAGGGAAGCCGCAGTTGACACCTTCATGCAGTGGTTTCATGGCGAGTACGTCCAATCGGTCGTCCTTTCTGAAATTATGAGGCCAGTATACTCTTTAGATGCATAGAATTCTCTGACACACCCAACCACTCGGGCCAGTGCTGCTAAATTGGAGGGGTGACATCCCTTCCCTTCGCAAGAACTCGGCCTTCCTCTCTGCTGCTTCGTGGGAAGCATATGAAGCAGACGGAGGGGAGGATGAGAAGGTATGGATCGCAGAGCAGCCCAGAGAGAACCAGACCTAGGACTGAGCCGCCGCCGCCGCCAGTACCGCAGCAAGGGAGGAAGGTCCCGGTGGTGTACTACCTCTGCAAGAATCGCCATCTGGAGCACCCTCACTTCATCGAGGTGCTGCTCTCCTCCCCTCGAGGGCTCTACCTCAAAGGTCCGCTGAAGTCGATGCATGCCGTAGAGTGGATGAATTGGTTTGCGTGTGTACGATGCTTCTTATTCGTTGGCTTTCGTTCTTGTTGGTTTTGGGATATTGATGCAGACGTGATCGAGAGGCTCAATGCGCTGAGAGGAAAGCGGATGGCCGCCATGTATTCGTGGTCTTGTAAGAGGTAAAAGAAAGACTCGCAGTCGATTCTTCCTGTTGTGCAGATTGATGGAGGAAGAAGTAATGGTGCAGGGGGTACAAGAACGGGTTCGTTTGGCACGACCTCGGGGAGGACGATCTCGTCCTCCCCGCCCATGGCAACGAGTACGTGCTCAAGGGCTCCGAGCTCCTGGATCAGTCTCCTCCAGGTGAGACCACATTTGCTTTCCCCATCCCTCGATTTCCTTGCGAGATCTTCTACTACATCATTGAAGCCAGATGCGGCATTCCATGGTTTAGTTCGGCGCCACAATGAAATGAGCAATCCGAGGTTGCAGATCCAGAATCAACGAGAATCCCCTGTGAATTCCTGTAAAGACCACGAAGAAGCTGCTTCTTCTTCTTCCTCCGTGGCGGTTGTGGTTAAGGAGGCGAAAACCTCTCCCGGATTGCGGTCGCCGGCTTCACCACATCCCCCTGCTACTACCCGACCGGATGAGCTATCGCCCACCACCAATCGGTCGAGCTCCTCCGGCGATTTCTCCCCGGAGACTGGCTGTAGAACCACCCCATCGTCGGCAATGGGCTCCCCGAGCCCTGCCGAGCACCACGTCCGCAGGCCCGCCGTAGTGCAGGATGCCTCCACTCAAACCGACGAGCAAGGAGGGAGAAAAGCGTGTGGAATTGCCGGTGTCTCGTTGGGTAAGGAATCCAGCGAGACACACAACGGAACGAGTCCATGTCCGACGGAGAGGCCTGAGAATGTTGAGGCGTCATATAATGCTGCTGCTGCTTGTTCTTGCGGGAGGACGAGCACGCTGGAGTCGCTGATACGAGATGAACCAAGCCAGAGGAAGGACTTGCGGATCGTCGAGGACGAAGTTTTCATCCCGTCCAGGGCGAAGCTGAAGGCAGCCGACATGCTCGTGCAGCTGATCACATGCGGTTCGATCTCCGTGAAGGACCATTACAACTTCGGAATCGTTCCAACCTATAACCCAAGGTTCACCACCACCATGAAGTCTCCCTCGCCGACGTTTCCGGGTTCGATGATGCTGGGAGAAATGGACTGCTTCTCGGAAAGCCAGAGAGTGGTCGGACTGAGGCCGGAAGAGCAGATAAACCTCGCTGAAACCATCACAGAGTCGAACCAGGAAGAAATGGAAGCAGAGTAAGCTGTTTGAAATCTTCACGCTTCATTTCTGCTGCAAAGTTTCAATGAATGATCTGAATAATGTAGGAGCTGCAAGATGCCTGATTCAAGGAAGGATGAAGAAGAAGGAACGGATTCGTTGCAGTTCAAATGTCTCCCTCGGGCGATTAGAATCGCGTCCTGCAAGCAGTCCAAAATCGAGACGGTGAGGTCCCCTGCTTCAGGTACGAGGATGCTCTCATGGGGGTTCGACATCGCCAAGTCATCACCACTCTGCTCGTCCAAAGATGGAAGCAAATGGATCACCGATACTTCGTCGACAAAAGGATCCTTCACTGGTTTCGAATCTTTCAGAGAAGAGAGGAAGGAGAAGGTGATCGAGCTTAATGAAAGTTGAGTTACTCTGCCCACTCTGTGTGAAGCTAAATTTCCTAGCTATTTCTTCCCCCCATCCAAATTCTCTTTCTTGCAGGCCTACTTCTGGAGCTCGGGTTGTAATCCGATCGAGCTCTCCGTGACTGGACCAGTGAGGAACGAGGATATCTCGTTACAGCATCCTGTCTCTCATTCCACTGTCAGCGGTGTGTGGAAGAAAGCTCATAAATTCTCCAATGGATTCTTAGTTCTATTTCATTCGATCGATGACCTATTTTTGAGTATCAATGGATCATTTCAACCATTATCATATGGGATGTGCTTGCGTTGGACTTATATCTTTGCATCTGCTGCATATGGGCTACTGGATTAGCCATTTTCGGTACTCAACCACAGAGTACTTAAATAATGAGTATTCCTCCGGCACATGTCCTCCGGTGTCCCCCTGTGAGTTGTATCAGTTCTTTTTTATCTTCTCCAGTTCTCATTCTTTTTAGTAATGTTAGGACAGGCACAGTAGAAATAGTAAGCTCGCTCGCTCGCTGCTGTCTCACCATCATTGCTGTTGGTGCAGCAGAGGTGTTCGATCAAAGGCCCCAAAAAGGAGGACAGTTTGACACCATCACCCTCGACGTATGCAGTGATCTCATGCATCGACTGCTCATCGAGGGCTACTTCAACGTGTGAAACCCGCCTCTCCCACGTTGCATGGCCGGGGGTTTCAAAATTCGTGAACCGCCATGATCATCAGAGAACAGCATCCCCCGCTTTTTCTTATTCCCTTGATTTCACGACTTTTGACGAAGCCATCGAGCCCTCTCAACCGTCGGTTTCCGTCCACCACCTGCGTCTTGATTCGTGACCACAGGGGTGCGCTCTGGGCTCTGCCTTATCTTCTCTCTCTGTATGTCGAAAGCTAAAGTGGCAACTACGTCATCACATTCCATAAGCACATGCTAACGCCGACGCTTAGAATATAAATTAGATGGCGCAGGGGCATCAGATACAGCCACGCAGGGCCACCCAGGTCCAGCTGCACCCACATTAATCCCCCAAATCCAACTCATTTATTGTTGCCGATAGCCAAATTTAATCCCCCCCCCCCCCAAACCAATGGCGTTCGCGATGCCACGTCCCTCGCCAACTACCGTCCGACTCGGTAAGTCGCAGCAGCATTGTTGAATTGTTCCTGGTTTTTTTTTTCTTTTTGGATAAATAGATTATTAGGAATTAATTAGGAAGATTTTTTTCCCTTTTTTGGCGTATTTATTTACATAGAAGTAGGGTTTTTTATTTTTTGCGTACGTGGTTTTATGGGATTTGACGGCGGAGCGTGCGCGTGCGCGCGCGCACACGGCCACCCGTACCCGGAACCCGTCGTTCCACGCGATCCGTGCCCACAGGTCACGCCACGTGTGGCCCACGCCCTCCGCGCGGGGCCCAGCCGAGCGTGCGCCGCCGCCCGCTGTCGCTGCCTCCCCTTGACCGCGCGTCGCCCGGGGGAGTCCAATAGAAACTTCTGGATCGATGACGTCCGTGGGTCTCGCCGGCTCCTACGCATCGTGTCGGGGAAGGAATACGTGGGTGTGCTGTTCGATGATTGAGATCAAACAGCAGATGTGCCGTGGAGCTGCCACACCTTCCTTACGGGAGCCGCCTATGAAGCGACGCAAGGACAGCACCAGACGGGCAAGTCAAACCCAACTCCTGTCGATCCAACGGGTTTCGGTCCTCTTCGTCCGCCCAAGGCTCGATCTTGACCGTTGATCCATGGCATCACTCTTTTATTATGTTGTCTCCTCCTCTCACTCCGTTGTCGTTCGTTGTTTGTTCTTGCGTCGCCGAGTTCAAAAGCGTCTTCCTTCCCCTTTCCTCTCCCTGTATACCCGTCGCCGTTCCTTGCTCGCCCGATCACCGCCACGAGCCGCCGCCCTCGTCGCAGTGCCGGCATTGATCGGGCCCTGCCGGATCGGGCCGACGGGGCGGCAATGATGATGAGGCGGGTGGCGGCATCGCTGGTGCCGCCGTGGCTGGAGCCCCTCCTCTCCGCCCACTTCTTTACTGCTTGCCCCCTCCACCGGGACGCTCCCCGCAGCGAGTGCAACATGTTCTGCATCGATTGCGGCCCCGCCTCGTCTTCTTTCTGCTTCTACTGCCGCTCCGACAGCCACGCCGGCCACCGCGTCATCCAGGTCAACCGCATTCCCCTCCCACCTCGTTCTTCTATCTGCACAATTTGCTCTTGCTCTTTCTTTGTTGTTCCTATGGTGGTGGCGGTGGTGACAAGGGGGGTTTTTTGTTACTGGCGGCGGCGGCAGATACGGCGGTCGTCGTACCACGACGTGGTGCGGGTGGCGGAGATCCAGAAGATGCTCGACATCAGCGGCGTCCAGACCTACGTCATTAACAGCGCGCCCGTGCTCTTCCTCAACGAGCGGCCGCAGCCGCGCGGGGGCGGACGCGGAGGCGGCGCCTCCGCTGCTTCCTCATCCACCTCAACCCCTTACACCTGCGAGATCTGCTCCCGCTCGCTCCTCGATCCCTTCCGCTTCTGCTCCCTCGGCTGCAAGGTTAGTTCCCATTCCTTCCCCTCCTCCCCCTCGTTCCATCGCGCCGTGATTCGTGCGTGCGATGTAAGCGTCCCACTCGATCGAGCACCTGACCGTGCAAAACGCAAATTTAGTTGGCGGGGGTAAAGCGGAACAGCGACGCGACCTTCGTCCTGAACCCCGGCGACGTGGAGCCGAGCGACGGCGGCGGGGGCATAAGGGATTCATCGTCGACGGCGGCGGAGGAGAGCAAGTCCGGACGAAGGGGAAGGTCGAGCGGGGGATCGCGCGAGGGAACGAGGCACGAAGCCCGAGGCCCGGCGCCTCCTCCTCCCGCTCCCAACTCGAGGAGGCGGAAGGGGATCCCCCGCCGCGCCCCCTTCGCCTCCTGACCTTCCCCAGCTTGTAAATTACTAAACCAGACGAAGAAGACGAAGAAGAAGAAGCAAACAGTACTGCATAGATTACTACTATAATGAAAAGCGTCATTCAGATTCCGACGTTTCCCGAGAGAGAGAGAGAGAGAGAGAGAGAATAGTGCTGCTCTCAGCACCAGCATACAACGACGACGGAGAGGGAAAGCGAGCGTGAAGTAGATCATTGTAATAAGTGCATCCAAGTGTAATTGTTCTTCTCTTCCCACCCCACACCACACCACACCATCACAATGTCATGCATTTCCACATTATTGATTGCACCTCATCACCACGTTACCAACGTCCATACTCTTGTTGTTGTCCCTCAGGAAATAGTACGACCGACACAAATTCTTTACTTCCAAAGCTGCTCGTCGTCAACCAGAAGCCAAAGGAAGTATACGCTGCAGCAGCAACAGCACTGTCTTTACCTTTTCACCTCCATGGTCGGGACTCGTTCGCAGACACTTGTGGTAACCTTAACCCAAACACGGTTGAGGAAAGCTCGGTATCTTCTTCGTTCATCGGAAAAGGCAGTCGAGGGAGATAAGAAATACAAGTAGGTCCAAAAGATCAAGCATGTACTTCCAATCACCTCAGAGTAGGGTGGTGTGCGCCGAGGCTGTGCATTGCAATCAATGGGAGCAGGACCCGGTGGGGCGAACCCAGCACATGGATGATGATTGGGATTTGGAGTGGAAACATTTGTTGGAGCAATTACTTTTACAGGAAGAAGAGAAGAGACCACAAGTAGTTTACATAAAATACCACACTGTGGAGTCCCCTCCGAAAGGACCACCATGGCTTTTCACATCTCGGGTGAGGACCACGATGGAGAAGACAGAGGGGAGGAGGGGAGGAGTGTTTAGTTCCATGGCTAGTTTAGTCGATTAGGTCTGTGGTCGAGTTGCATTATTGGGTGGGTTGTTGTCACACACCATCTTGCACATCTGTCAATCACTAAGAACAATAAGAATCAATTGATGCCCTGCTCGATCGAGTCTTTTTATCTTGGCGTTGAAGGTTGGGAATTCCGGGCCAAGGCATCGTCCTATTTTATTCCACGCTATCAACCAACACGTGTTTGATGTGGAATGGCGATCCAAAGCATCTAAGAAGACCGTCCTCGGCTCCCGCATATAGAAAGCTCCGAAACAACCACTCGGTGCCACGTGGGGCCCCCTAGCTGGTGGGTCAGGAGACACGTCGGCGATTACTCGCTGTGCTTCGCGTTACGGCCGTTGGAAGGGAACACCTGCCGATGTACTCCACTTTTTCCCTCCTTTTTACGTGCAGTATTAATTCTTATCTTGTGATCCTATAAGAAATCATTTCACAGAAACTTAAACTTGTCATCAATCTTCATGTACTCGAATTCAATCCATATATAACGATTACCAAATAGATAATTTAAGTAAATAAATAATAAAAATTGAAGAGCAACTTTTCTTAAAAAAACAATTTTTATTTTTTTTTCTCAAAGAGTGTCGATAATTTGAAAAATACATAAAATACCCTTCAAAAGATTTTTCGATAAATTATTTTGCTCAATTTTTTTATCAGTTTTCAATTTTTACAGTGTTTTAATTTGACTCATTTATCATATTTTTTAATAGTATTTTATTGAGATATTAAAAATACTATAAATATTATTAAAAAATACTGTTAGTAACATCATATTGTACCTCTTTGATTGTCATTATTCATAGACAATTATAACATCATATGTTTAGTCTTGTAGTTAGTCTGATTAAGTTTAAAATCAATTTAGATCATTTATAATATTTTTATTATAGTAGCTAAAACACTATAACATGTCAAAAACATTGTAATAGGTCAAGATACTATAAAAAGCGATTTTTTTAAAGGGATAATTAAATTATTTTTTAAATTAAGAGTGTACTATTTGAAAAAAAAAGATATTAATTATGAAATACTGAAAAATATAAGTATTTTCTTAAAAAAATAAGTCAAAATTGAAAGACACTTGTTCTTATATTTTGTTACCACTATTCCATCCTAAATCTTAAGAATAAGATATATATATATATATATAAACACACCACCTGTCGTTACAGAATTTGCCACCATGTCTGCCGAATGATTGGCGAGATGGGAGCTTCTTGTTGAGGTTGGTGAGGCGTCGGTCAGTTGCAGGAGCACGGAAAGCCACTGGATCGGGCGGGCGTTGCAGCACGAGAGACGGTCCAAAACACTGCCGAACTGATGTCGGTGTGCACGGTGACACGCTGCTGTCTACTTGGATCCGGTGGTTCCTCGGTCATGTGCTGAGGCTGTCCCCGCACCGACTCACGTCGTCTGCTGCATCGAGTCATCCTCGCCACGGCGTCCATCAGTTCGCCTGCTTGACTATTTTTTCTTGGGAAGGAGATCGGGGTGAGGAGAAGAAGGGCGTTGCTGCTTGATGGCGATGGCTGACCTGCTTGTCGCCAGTCGACGCTCGCCTGCAATCAAAGGCAGCAGCGAGCCAGCAACATCGTTCCAGATTGTCGCCTTGTGTTACTGCAGTCACTGTAACCTTCGTTCTAGCCCACGTCAGTTTCCGAAGGCCGTCAAGGAAGCGGTCGAGGAGTTTGTTGAGGTCATCGCCGTCGGCGGAGAGTGACGATGCTTCGAGTGACGCGAGTAAAATCTGAAGGTCTACACGCATCTCAAAGCAACGCCCACTAGGTAACTATAGCCTAATCCAGCCCTCTCTGCTGTAACGGCCCGGCCCGATCGGGACTGCCAATCTCCCTTCGTGTCATCCTCCTCGATCTCCCCCCTTCGTTCCTCCCTCGGGGCTGACCGGATCGGCGTTTACTCTTTGGGTTTCTTGAGCTCTCATCTCGTATCGCTGCCGACTTGGATGCCGGGGAGAGCTGGTGGGCGGCGCGGATTTGCGTGTTGCGGTCTCTGATGAAGATCGGATTCCTTCCATGGTTTTCTGTGAGGGAGTTCTGCTTGTAAGGATGATGCTCGATCGCCACGGTTTGTCGTGCGATTCTTGATTCCTTTGAAGCAGAAATGAGGAGGTAAATATAACTCAACATCTTGCTAGGGAAAACGAAAATAATCTTTGCTGAAGAATCAGAATGCATACATATCTCAGAGGTCAATTAACAGTTAGAAAAGAATTTTTTTTTGCCTTATAAATCAATCTATTTTAGATGATTCATGTTGTTGCATAATGCAGAACTTCAGAAGAAACAAGAGGATAAACAAATTCTCGAGGAGCTTCTGGATTCCATTAAGGGGGAAATAAAGGTATTTGTGAGCAATCGTTTGATCTCTCTAAGTGCTCACTTGCAAGTTTGCTATGTCCTTCTGCTTGTTGCCTTTACCTTTTGTTGACTCCCTATCAGTTATTTCATTGCTTAAGGTTCTGATTGATCAATGGATTGCTGATTTGGTGTATTGAAATATACATTTCAGTTTTGTGGTTTTTGATCAGCTAATATGTTCTTTTGAAACCTTAGCAACCAAGAATCCAGTTGCTAGGGTTACATTTGCAACTTGCCATAGACTTCTGTATTTTGAGCTTCTCTAATGCATACAAGCATTGTACTGCCACTTCACCTCTGTTAGTTTGAATGAACAATGTATCGTCATATTACCTCTGTTAGGAGAAAAGGACAGCGTTCGTATGAAAAACAAAAGTCCTATACATGCCTCTTTGTCTTAAATCCAAGACCAAGATTTATGCAACTCAATGGATACAAATGTACATTCCATGTACTGGTAATAAACTTTTTTTTTTCTCTCTCTCTCTCTATGAACTTACACAGTCGTCCAATTGACACAGCTATTTCCTTTCTTTATTCCTGAAATCATATCAATTTTGATGTTGAAGCCATCCTTGAATTGCAGAACGAAGGGCATGATTGGGGAGTAGCTCGCAATCGGATAGCCTGAGGTTAGTCATGGGTGATGTCTCATTGCCGCTGCTAAGCCATCCTTTAATGGCCTCACCTTCGTAAGTGAAACCATCTGCTGCTATTTGTGGATCCCTCATAAGCTCCTGCAGTTTCATTTTCAACTAATAAATCAAAGTTGAAGTGGCAGCTACAAGAGATGTTTCTGCATCTTCTTTTAGTTTGATCACATTGCACAGATGGGCAAATAATTGTTACTAGTACAGGACTTTGGTAGTAATGCATATGATTTGGAATAGGAAGGAAATGTGCAGGCAGCTATGTATTGTTCAAGCAGTATCTAACACAAAACCAGACTACCAGAGGAAGAGTCACAACAATGAACATGTGTGTGTTGATGACAAGAATGTAAGAAGATGTGATGTTATCTGATTAGGATAAGAGGTGGGGTTGGTAAGAAGAGACAGGGAACATTTAGGATATATATTTATTTGGAGAAGGATTGTTAGAACTTGATGATGCATAAATGATCTACTAATGCAAAGTGGACTGCCAAGTAACTGACCTTAAATATTGGACAGATGAAGTATGATGGAATGCAGCTGCTGTACTCTGGAGCTAACATAATCGATGAAGGCGATAACCTGGCAAATGAGATGGACTTCATCAAGGGCTGAAGCATTTTCCATGCCTCTTTTGCATCTGGCCGGTTCCTCCTGTTCATGTCACAGCATTTCAACCCCAGTTTTGCCAACTTCTCTGCCTGCACATATGGCCAGTCCCCTGCAGAAGCATCAAGTACCCTCTCCAAGCATTTCATATCCAATGCCTCTTTTACTACTTTGCTCACTCCAAATGCTGCCCTTCCCGTTAGAAGTTGCAGAAGTATGACTCCGAAGGAGTACACATCAGATTTTGCTGTGATTTCTCCGGATGAGAGCAATTCAGGGTCCATGTAAGCAAATGTTCCCTTGCGCAGATGCATGCAGTGGTAGAGGGTGCTGCTGCCAATGGACCGGACAAGCAGTCGGTTCATACCCAAGTCACTAATCTTGCTCACAAAGTTTGAATCGAGAAGAATGTTTACAGGCTTAAGATCACCATGGACCACACTAAGGGGTTTACGGGAGTGGAGGAAGACGAGAGCGGAGCATATTTCAGCTGCAATGCGGATGCGGACCTGCCAGGTGAGCTTGCGAGTAAGGTGGTCTTCCAAGCTTCCACCAGGAAGATACTCGTAAACGAGAGCTCTGGCTTCTGGGCATGCTCCTATGAGAGTGACAAGGTTTGGATGCCTTACTCTACTTAAAATATCAATCTACAATAGCAAAACTTACATTGATTAGAAGAGCTTGCTTGTTGTTTTGCCAAATGTTACCAACATGCTTGAATTAGCTCATGCAATATGCAGGTCAGGACTTACCTCTCGCCGGAATTCTGCTGTTCTTTGCTTGCCTTGTGGATTCAACCTCTTTATTGCCACTGTCGTATGGCGAAGGGAGCCTTTATATACACATCCGTATCCACCTTCGCCGATCTTTGATGCCTCATGGAAGTTTTCTGTTGCTTGTTCCAGCTCCGAAAGGGAGAACTCGGAGAAGTGTTCTGCTCCACGAGTGCTGGTTGTTGCTTCTTCATTCTTCTGATGCACTCGCTCCTGCTGCGACAGCTCATGCTCTCCTCGGATCGAATCGAGGTGGCTGTATGCCTCGGGCAATTTGGCTTTGATATCCTTGAGAATTTGGTCAGAATCAGATATTTGGAGTTCCAGCGCTGCCATCTTCTGACGTGCTTGCTGGAGTTCTTCATTGACCTCATCTCGCTGTTTTCTCAGTGCTGACAGTTGCATCTCATCTTTTGCTACCGCTTCTTCGATTTCTTTCCTTTGTCTCACCTCTTTGTTGTATGCAGTCTCGGCGACGTCGACCTGCGCAACGGTGCCGTGTGAGATCAGCATGAAAGTTGTCGTTTGTTGACCTGCAATGAGATCTTACCTTCCTCGCAGCCTCGCTCAGGTCCTTCTCAGCTATCTGACGCTTGTGGAGCTCTTCATAAGCTTCACGTTTCGTGTTATCCGCTTCCTTCAGCGCAGCTTCCAGCCGTTCGTACATGGCACCATCGACACCAAGATCCTCCTGCAACACAGATATGACGAATTGTGTGTGTGTGTGTATGTGAGCGTATGTGAGAGAGAGAGAGAGAGATGTGTACCAGGTAACGTTGTGGAGATTGGAACTGAGGGACATCTCCAGGTGCAGGAAGTGTCCGTAGAACGAGCGATCCATCATCTCTGTCCGCTTCCGGCGGCACTTCCGGCGACGAAGCCATGTTTCCGTGGAGAGAGTGGTCCGAAGCCCTCGACGCAACATCCCACGTATCATTAACGCTGCTCTCTCCGCTCCCTGAGGTCGATGATCCCGCCGGTCCTTCACCAGGCCAAGCTGCCATGGCCAACTGTGTGTGTGGGGAGGAATCGGCAGATCTTGTCGTGGGTTTGTGAGCTGCGACTGCTTCATCAACACAGGCATCCCTGCAAACAAGATCCAGTATAATTCATCGTTTCATGGACAGCGTGTCTGTAGAACCACAACAACACACTGTAATGTCTGTCTGAAAGTTCAAGCTGCGTGCCTGGTGCAGATGAGGTTCCCTTTGCAGACAAACCAGATCTTGCATGATGGATCAGCCTGCTGCTGCACGGCCAGAGCTGTCTTCGACCTCGGACCCTTCATTCGCCTGTGATTCTAAAGCCTTGGCTTAGTCCACGAGTTCCACAATTTGGCTGCAATCGCTTCTCTTATCGATTGTTTTGTTGTTTTGGAAGACAGATCAAGTTTTGGACTTTGAATGCAGCCTTTAATATAAGTAATGCTAACAATCTGATATCTAAATTCGAACTGGTTTCGGAAAACTCTTGAATCATTGATGGCAGAAGCCTCTTCATCATCCACAACTTAAAAAGTGCATTTGCAGGGAATACCTCGAATAATATTTGTCTGCTGCTGCGCCCATAACAAGTTGGGTGATTCCATGCTGAGCCACGAGCTCCACTAGTCCTTTTCTGACATCGTCTTTCTCGATCACGAGTTTTCCTGCTCTTTTCACCTACACAATAGACAGTAGTTGCTCGATTCATGGTGTGCTCGATCATGGTCTACTCTTACCGAGAAAAGCACATGAACAGGCACCAAAATTGTTGCAGCCAGTTGGAGAGATGAAGAACGAAAAGTCAAAAGTGCCGAGCCAACCATTACTGCGTACATACCTTTACACGGGAACACATAGTTATGTACTCGTCTAAACATCCGTGCATGTTGGCTCTCTCAATGCTTCTGTATGCTGCAACCTCTTCCTCCTGTAGATGGGACGCAGGAATCCAACCCAACGCTGCAATCGAGAGAGGAAGGAAGAGCTCGGTATCTTGAGAAGTAAAAGGAAGCATCGTTTACAAGATCTAGCTCCAGCCACTCTTGTCATACGAAGCTTGGGCGAGAGAAGCACACACCGGTGGGGATCTTCTGGGCCGGGCGGTGGACGTGAACGACGACCACCTTCTTGTCCTCGGGGGTGTTGTGGAGCAGCCACAGGAAGTTGGCCTTCCCCTCCTTCACATCCTTCACCACCGCCACGTACGCCTCGTCCTCGTCCTCTTCGGCGTTCTCCCTCGCGCTGCCCTTCGACGACCAGCCGCTGCTCCGGCCGTGCTCGTGGCTCCCCTTCATCGAGCGGCCTTAAGCCACGACACGAAGGACAAGCACTGCGAAGGAAGCTGGAGCTCGACTCCTATTCCATGAACTCTCTCTCTCTCTCTCTCGATCGATCGATCTTTTATCTAGCTTTTGGGGAGCAGAAAGGGGCGCTTTTTGTCCCAACCTCGCGCAGAGTTGGGGAACAGACGAAGGCCAAAAGGGATGCAACGAAGTGTACACTTCCGGGCCAAGTTTTCCTCCTCTTTCTCTCTCTACCTTCAACCTTTCCGCCTTATTGTGGACTTCTTTCACAGGCCGCTGGTGACATGGGGCGGACGAGAAACGGGGCTTCGTCAAACTCCGTGCCAAGCTGATGCCTACCCATTCATGCGATATCCCCTTATCCCCATCAAGAAAAGTCTTTTGCTCCTCTGCACATATCTCTAATGGTCTTCACATGCGAGATTGACCGAGTAAACCCTAAGGATCTCCAAACTTTGTTTCTTCTCTTCAAGCTTGGAGCTTTTTTGTCGTGTCCTCTTTTGCTCCTCTTCTCTTCTCTGTGTTTGTAGTCACACATTTTTGTGTCGTAATGGTTTATTCTCACATCTAAAATCTTGCTTTCTGAACCACAGAAAAGAGCACATGAGTTGAAGAGGGTAGAGTGAGAGAGACTTCAAAGCCATGCATGCATGCATTCATTCATCCTAGCAAGTGGAATTCATTCATTGAACTCGACCTGTCAGGATTGAATCTGTGCATTTGTCATTCCATGAAAACTACCTCCCACTTGCAGCATCTTCAAACCCATTCTGCCAAAAGTCACATTTGAGCTGCTATTTGACCAATTCACTATCCATCAAGTTTGAATCCAAAGGATTGCACTGTTCATCGATTTATTTCCATGGACTTATAACTGCTATAACAGTTATGGGTAGGTTCGACAAAGTCCATCGAATCATATCACGATTCCGGGCCGACCAACTCGGGCCGGTTCGTCCGGTCCAGTTTCCGTTGGACCGCTGTCGAACCCCCGCCGCTCCTAACCGTCTCTTCCCTCGGTTGACTGGTAGCTGCAGCTTCCTCACTCCGAACCCTCCATTCTAATCTTCCCAGGGGAATGATGGCGATCCAATGCAACCGCCGCATGCATCCCTGACGCCATGGAAGAGCAAGGCACCGACGCGTCCCCGATCGAGAGCCCCCCTCGCCCTGATGCCGCCCTCCGGGCCGAGCTCGAATCCCTTCGGGATTCCCACCGCGAGCTCCGATCCAGATTCGCGGCCGCGGAGGAGTCCCTTGCGGGTCTTCGAATCCGCGATCTCGATCTCTCCCGGGCACTGGAGCAAGCGTCGGAGGAGCGGGACTCGCTCAGGATCAAGCTCATCGAGGCGGAGGTCTCCGCTAGGGAGGAGGAGGAGGAAGCGAGTTGGGCGCAAAGATGGGAACTTTCGCACCTGATCGAGATCTTCAAAGCTAGGTTTAACGAGGTGGTGGAGGAAAGGAGCAGAAGAGACGGAGTGGTGTCGGGGATCCTTGATTCGATGAGATCGGTGAGAGGCTGCTTGAGCAGGATTGGCGGGAGGATCAGCGACGAAAACTTCGAGGAAGACGATGGGGAAAAGTCCAATCTCGAGGACGCATCGGAGGTTGTCTCGAAGGAGAGCAGATTGATCTGCCAGCTTGGGGTGGCAGTGGAATCAAAGTTTACGGAACACGACAAGATGAGGAGGAAGGAGAAGAAGGAGCTGGAGAACAGCATCGTCAGTTTGACGGAGGAGAACAGGGACATCAGCAGCTTGCTCAGGGTTGCCCTGGTGGAGAAGGAGGCCGTGGAGAAGAGCCTTAGTAAGCTGAAGGGAAGCGGGGAGCAGAAGCGGGGCGCGATTCTGCAGATAGCTGAGAGAGGGCTGCAGAGGGTCGGATTTGGCTTCATAAAGGGGGTCATCGGCGGCGAGTCACAGCCGGATCAACCAAGCAGTTCCAGTGTCAGTGCTACCTCCGACGGCAGCGAATGCGAGGAGGAGGTGATCAGTCTGGTAATCTTCTCTGCTCTCTCCATCGTGCATTTGACTCGACTCTGCCGGAAGAAGGTCTCAGCATGGTTTGCTTTCGGATTCTCTCCGATCAGGCTTCTACCGTTGAAAGGATAATGAGAAATCTGCGCCTTGAGATTACTGATCTAAGACGAGCCCTGGAGGAGTCCAGGTAATATATTTCCATGCAACGAATCCAATCTCGTACTTGTTTGCGTCCACTCTTTTGTTAGATTCGATATGTGAGTTTCCTTTTAGGAATCGGAAAGCATACATATGCAGAAGGAATCGAACTCCAATTTTATGGATTGTTGTTTTAACACAGGTCAGAGAGTGAGGATTTGCAGTCTCTCATCGAGAAACAAGAAGAGAAGATCATAGAGGGTGAACTGTACATAAAAGATCTGGAAGAGAGACAAATCTTGCTGGCTAAAAGTGTAATGCTGCACTTCTATTACATATCGAGCGTAAGCTGTAACTCACCTGACATTTTCCCTTTCTGATGATACCTGGAAGGTTGAAGAGCTGACGACCGAGATAAAGGAAGCAGGAGAAGAGGCCGCACGATGGAGGGAAGCTTGTGAACTGGAGGTAGAAGCTGGAAAAGCTGCAATCGTAGAGCGTGAGAAGGAGGTAAAGATCCACCCGCTCATCTACTTATTTGCTGTCTTGTGAACTGGTGACGGAGTTGATCGACGGCACTGTTCGTGGATGAGCTTTTACCTTGAACAGCGTGTGTCTAGGTCGGTTCGCTGAGAGAGGAGCTGAGGAGAACGAAGTCAGCGCTGGATACAGCAAACGGTAAGCTGAGCTTGAAGGAGAAGCTGGCGAAGACCGCGATGGCGGCTCAGGCTGCCGCAGAAGCAACCTTGCGGCTGGCGGACAAGAGGGCGGCTGGGCTTGGGGAGCGGATCGAGGAGCTCACGAGGCAGCTAGAGGAAGAGGCGGAGCACGGCAGAAGAGAGAGGACCGGAGTCGGAAGGCGGGTGAGGTATGTCTGCTGGCCGTGGCAAGCCTTCAGAGTCGCGCCCGCTGCTCGAGCGGGTTCCAGGAGCAGGGAGAGGAGGAGGAGGATGATGATGCTGCCTGAAATGGAGGCTCTGCTGCGTTTCAACATATAGAAGCGAGTTATTGTGCCATTGCTGCAGGGAATGCTACTTCTCTAAGATCTCGTCATTAACCAGCAGGAAGACAACCAGAAGACGGATTACTCGTGGTGTCTTTGGAAACGATAGCGTATGCATAGGATCAGGTGTATCGAACGACAGTATTGTGGCCTTGAAATGAACATTACTGAACATACTGTGCTATCAGAAGGTATAGAAGATCATCAGTGCCCACCAAAACGACGACGAAGATGGGGTCGGCCCTCCTCATCTTTGGCTTCCACCCCGGTCCTCTCCTGGTTCCAACTCGGGAGAGTCGACGTCTGCAAGCTTCTTCAGGTCGACGACCGATAGCTCATCAAGGCGCCTCACCACAAGGTCGGCTGCGCGGAGCTCGTACACCGGCTGCTTACTTGCGACTGCGACGCACTTCATACCGGCTTCACGCGCTGCCTCCACCGTTGATATCGAGTTCCCAAACACGATGCACCGCTCCGGCAAAAAACCCAGAAGCCGGGCGGCGTGGATGAACATCTCCGGATCAGGTTTCCCCCTGTGCACTTCCTCTGCTGCCACGACCACCTCGAAGAAGCTCTGCGCACCGACAGCCTCGATTTCGCCCTGAAGAGCCTTCCTCCGTCGCGTGGACGCCACAGCCAGTGGAATCTTGTGGTTCGCAAGGGTACTCATGAACTCCCGCGACCCGGATCGGAGATGACAGAGACCGCCATTCTTAAAGCTTTGGCGTATGTCCTCCTTCCGAGAGGCCAATCTCCTGATCTCCGTAGGGTTTCGTGACCAGCAAAGAACCTCGGAGATGGCTTGCTCGCTCTTCATTCCTTCTATTCTCCTCAGAACGAAGGCCAGGGGCGGCGACTTCCCTTCTTCTTGGGACAACGCCACCCAGGCCCGGTACTCCAACTCAGGGTCGTCGTCTTCGACGATCACCCCTTCCCATTCGAAGATCACGGCGAGCCAACCACAGCCCATCCTTTCTTGACGGAGCAGCGGGTTGTGGATCATCGGGTCGTCGGCCTTGCTCACGGGAGGCCACGTCCTACCAGGACTCAGGCAGGTGGAATCGGTTGTGTAAGCGAGATCGCCGGATACCCTCTGCCTGGAAGGGTTCTTTTCCTTCGCCAGCAACTTGACAGTCGAATCCATGAGCCGGCTGGGGACGGGCAGCCGGCACGAGGCGAGCTGCCGCCGCTTAAAGCTCACATCTTCGGAAGGGGGCCTTTGGTAGAGCAGGTGGTGAGCGATGAGGGACGTGCCGGTGCCCATGGCATCGACCATGGCGGTGAACTGAGTTCCACGAGAGAACACCGCGAATCCAATAACAAATGACTCTCTTCCCCCAAACGATTCAGAAACGATCAAAACCTAAGGAATAGTGAGTTCAAGAAAGCAAGTTAGGAACAAGAAGAACAACGCGATGAAGTTCCACGAAACCAATCGAACGATCCTGCAACGAAACGACGAAGAATTCTTGCTTTCTTTCTTGATCGAGAAACCGTCGAGACAGCAATTTGGGACGTGAGGAGCGAGAAAGCGAAAACCCCCAAAATCAATCGATGCGAATACAGCGAGGGATGGGAACTATCAGTTCCGCGACGATCGGATCACTCTGTTCCAGCGGATAGGAAAAGAACAGGAGGAGGATGGTACCCAGAGAGAAGAAGACGGCGTCGACGGGCGATCGGAGGGAGGAAGACAGACGGGTGTTCGTCGGCGTCCTCCTCCGGTTCATATACGTCTCCCGCTCGCGTTTCGAAGCCCACCGGCCGCGTCGGTCCACGCTGACCGACACGCGTCCTGAGAGGGTTTGTCTAAGCAGCAGCTTTATATGTAGACAGCAAACAAAATGATTTAAAAGGCATAAAAAAAGAAAACTATAAAATAGAAAAAGTAATTATTAATCTTAGGTAATCATAATTTTAAGTATTTTATTAGTGATAGATAGCTCGAATTAATGCTCTAAAATTAATGAATTGTTTTAAGACGCAAGAAAATTATTATATATGCATCCTCAGTGCTTATTTATATTCATATCGTTGTTTATTTGCTTGTGCATGGAATTATACGTCATGAGAAGCACAAAGATTCGCCATGCAGTGCACAACTATGTTTCTACAGTATCACCATCTCGCCGCAGCGCACTCTCACACCACAGATTCCTCCGAGCAGCAGCTGCACATCGCGTCCTCCTCCACGGAGCCACCGTCGTCCACCGCCTTCTTTTGCTTGATGGCCTCCTGAGCTAATATCGTCTTCCTCTTCTCGTCCTCCTTCGAGACTCTCGCCGTCGAGTCCTCCGACTGTTTCGTTTCTTTAGCTTTCTTCGCCATCTTCTCCTTCCGTCGGGCTGCCGCGTACTCTTGTGAGATGTATCCGTCCATGGTTTCTCGCATGTGCACGCTTCGTTCGCAGACAAATATATAAGGCGAAAAGGGCGGCCGGAAGAGAGGAATCCGGTGGGCTTCAGACCCGAGTTCATTCATTTGGATAACTAAATCCACCGAGATCGCAATTAGGTTCTGCTTCGGTCGGTCCGTGGGGGAAGAACTCTCGGCGAATACCGAGCTGATTGGTGCAAAGATTTCCACGTGAACGCTGCTCCCTGGTCGGCAAATCAACAGGAGAAAGGAATGAGAAGATTCGGTTCATGGAAGGAGAGCAATGGCCGGAAGGAGAGCGGTGATGCTGCCACGGCCACCTCAAACCGTGTGCTCTTTCTTGCATGTCATGTGAAAATTGAAAAGCTCCTTTTTTTTTGCCTTTCTTCACCCTCAAAGGTGCCATATTTTCTTTCTTTGTCTGATACTGTGCCTAATTTCTGAATCCCGTATCCCGCCCGTCACCTCTGCCCTCTTCTCCGCCCATTGCATCCGTCATCGCGAGACCTCGCCCTTCCCCTACCCCAACCCTGTGCGTCCTTAACCTGTTGCACCCGTCACCTCCGCCCCACGAAGCAGGCAGAGCAAGGGCGGACCTGCGTCATTGGCGAAGGTGGCGGTGCTGGAGGAGGCGATGATGAAGGTGTTTGATGTCGGGATACGAAGCTCGATGGAGGACGGGCTGGTGCAGACGCTGAAGTTGGCAATAGGGTGCTGCCGTGTCAGGTAAGTTCAGCGTGCGCGACAGGCGGTGAAGGGCACTGCACAGAGGCAATCGAGCCTCGCGATGGGAGTAAATGCGAAGGTGATGGGTGAGGAAGGGAAGAGAAGGGAAGGAATTTACGAGATTATAAGATATTATCTAAAAAAATAAAAATAGAAATATTTTCTGATTATATATATATATATATATTAATTATCGGATAAGCATGTTGGATTTGTGATGGGGAAAAGAACAGATAAAAAAAGAAAAAGAAAAAGAGAAAGATGCAGCGTAAGAATCCAATGATTCTACGTCAGTGTCATGCCACGCGACGTTCGCTGGCAGCGACGCGGATATGGCGACGGAACGCTACTGCCGACAGCGCCGGTGAGCACGGCCTCCACATCAATTTTTAGCCGTATCGTGGACCAGCGCTACATGGACATGGAAAAAGAGATCCCGCTTCTACTTTAGTCGGTGGAAGAAGAAGAAGAAGAAGAGAGATTAAGATGACTAATAATCGATGTGGGCTTCACAATAACATTTCTAATCGTCGAGTTAACTTACCGTTGATGTAACAAAAAGAAAGAAGAATTAATATGATGAAATTAATAATCTTAGTCATTAGTCTTATTACTGAATAATATATCATAAATCCACACCTTCATTACCTTCCCCTTCGATTTGGATATTCTACAGATGTATCCACATCCTTCGATTTCCAAGAAATCTCAAGTTAATCCCATCCAAGAACAAATAAGCATAAATGGTGGGTCAAAGCTATCACAACCAATACATCAAATCACCTCACTCAACCTTCCTCCCCAAGGAAAGGAGCATATGCATATGATTGGTGTACCAATCAATGAGATTTGAAGGAAGATTAGAATTTTGTAGTGCTCTAACAGCACATCACTGTACTATGAAAGATAATTTATGTCATTTGGCTTCCACCTGTAAAATGACAACAATGGTTGAGATATTGACAAACATCATGTTCTTGGCTGGCATCGGAGGTGTGATCAAAAACCTTTTTATTTTTCTTTTTTCTATATATATATATATATCTGAAAATGACCTCCATAAATATCATGTTTGATATGCAGTATACGTGCATGACATTAACGTTCACGATGGAGGAACCGGATAAGGCGACAGCGCCCGCGAGTACACCATTCGCGCTGCCCGATAAATCATCAACGACAAAACATGGGGTTCCTACCGTTGCACGTCTTACGTGGAACAAAAAGGGACCCACGTAAGTTTGCCCAATAATGAGACAGGTAAGGGTCGGGTAGTTTTGAGGACAACAACTGTCCTTTTTTCTGCAGAGTGTAATCTCTCTCCTGTCGGCAGTTGATATCTCATTTACCGGCGAGAGAGGGCAAGATTCGACGCAGCAAACGGACGGACGGATGCTCTTCGCGGGAAGCACGGACGGTGGATCATGCATCCGCATCTAAGTTTCTATGCAAACGTATGCAGAACGATCTCCATGCCTTTCTCCCGTATGTTTATCTGCCCCGTCGGGTGGGCCGGTAGACAGATAGATAGAGAGCGAGCGAGAGAGAGAGAGAGAGAGAGAGAGAGATGGCGGAGGAGGCGGAGAAGGTGCAGGTGTCCGTGGAGCCGCCGCCTCCGGCAGAGGAGAAACCGGACGATTCCAAAGCGCTCGCAGTTGTGGAGAGTAAGAGCTCTGCTTCTCCTCGGTCTGCTGCTCTTTTGTTCATCGCATGAATGGTTTCTCTATACGGATGTGATTATAGAATTTTTTTTTTTTTGGATCTCTGCATCATCAGTTCGATTGGAAGTTGCTTAGTATGGGGGAAATTTTGTACCTTTACGATTGAGTTCTTTGCGAATGTTTGGATCATGGATCCTCAAAGAAAACACCAAGCTTTATGGTTTTTGGCTTGCACAAGCACAATTAGGATCTATGGTGACATCTGTAATTTGGGTGAGTAATCCAAAAGGCAAGTAGAATAACATATCGATGAACGAGTACATTATTTTCGACAAGAATAATTGCAAGTGGTATCTTAAATTACCTCATGTTTGGCGAAAGGGGATAGAGAGAAAGTGGACTCTTCAGGTTTTAGAAGCTTTGGCACTCGTCATGTTGAGGCACTCAATTTTTTTCTTCACTTTGCAGAGTCTGCTTCACAAGAGACAAAAAGCGTGGGGAGCTCAATCGATAGAGGTGAGGATAAAAAATTTATGTTTGATGGAGTTGAAAGTTTTAGTTGTTGTTCTTACAGTACTACCTTTCGAATGACGATAAGAAGCTTTTTGCTGTTGCATGTGTAGATGTTGCTCTGGCACAGGTCGAGACCGAAAAGAAACTGTCTTTGATCAAGGCATGGGAGGAAAGTGAGAAGACGAAAGCTGAGAATAAGTAAGATTTTGCTGTTTGATGTTTGTAAATAGTTGAATTTATTTTTACAGCAACTTCTTAATTTGGATAACGTTTCTCAAATCCAAGATAATGCTTTTTCTTTAATGTTTCATTTCTTAATCGAAGAATATTTGAAATTATTAATTTTTTCTTCATTGTCTGATGACCGTCGATGACAAAGTCGCATATATAGCAAGCATGTACACACCAAGTGTATTTCATCAATAAAAGAAACAAAAGAAATTTTGAAGTATGGGAGTGAACAACATCTTAAAGATAAAATTACATGGTTGGTTCCTTGTATTATGCATCGCTTTTGGCCTGCCGTCCAGCCTAGTTTATGCAATACAATCTGTTGATCCATGCAAATCATTTGAATTATATGTTAACCTATGAAAAAGTACATAGATATTCATTACTGCAAGTTACAATCATAACATAATCCATCCAAACTCATTTTGCTCGCCTAGAAAAGTGCGATCTCAATTTGCAGTTTGTTTGCCTCAAGACATACATACATACATACATACATACATCTGTGTAGTTACCTTTAAGATGCTTACCGAGATCCAACGAACACTTCCTTTCAAGTCTGGGATGTTGATCTTTTCAGCTTGAGAACCGGTCCACCTGCTGCATATTATCTATTATTTCTTTTTCAACTATTGATTTTACACACATGATCAACATGCACACCCTACTGTTTAAATATGTTTATGTATCGATTGGTAGTTGTTCGTATGAGTTCTCTATAAGGTTACTGGATGAAGTAAGAATTTTAAGACAAGCATGTAAACAAGTGCTAGGTCTTTTTTACATTGTAAATAAAGTTCTCAGGTTACACCGGAACATCTTTAATTTTCCTTCTCTTCATTGTAAGCCGAGTCAATTAAGTCACCTACTACTTAGGTAAAGTTAGAACACTAATGAACATTATTATTCTGCAAATTTGGTGAATGATTCAAGAAAGTTGGAATTGTTGTCCTGTCTGTGGTTATTTGGCTTCATTAAAATGTGAAAACAGATCTCAAAAGAAGCTGTCAGCCATTACTTCATGGGAGAACTCAAAGAAGGCAACTCTAGAAGCAGAGCTGAAAAAGATCGAGGTAAATAGCTTCTGTCATTGCCATTTGAGTTTCAACCTATTACCACCCCTTGATACCTTGTCAAGAGTAAGGTGGCATTATTGTGTTGGAGTAACTAAATTGAGGCTATCAATATTTCGAGTTTTCTTGGCTACCTATCTTTTCTGTGAGATACAGTCTGTGGTTGAAAGGGCTGTCTAGCAATGTTTAGACTTCCTATACTGGAAAGCGTAAATTCAATGTTGTCCAAGAAAAAGCAACTCTTTATGACTTTTGATACGTTGTCGGTATCAAAGTGGAAGAGTGGAATAAATTGGTTCAAATTGTATGAGCAGGAAAAAATAGAGAACCAGAAGGCAGAATATGCCGAGAAAATGAAGAATAAAATTGCTATGATTCACAAAGCAGCCGAAGAGAAGAAGGCACTGGTGGAGGCTAAGCGTGGGGAAGAGCTTCTGAAGGCAGAAGAAACTGCTGCGAAGTATCGCGCTACAGGGCAGGCTCCTAAGAAGGGATTTAGCTGCTTCAGTGCTTGAGGAGATGAGGCAGAAATGGAAAGAGTTCATGAAGTTCATGCATCCTCTTCATTATGTTCTATTTGTGGGTGTCCTTTTAAGATTTCAGCTTGTGTTGTTGTAAAGCATATGTGGTGTTTGTATATTAGCAATCCTAGAGAAACCAGTAAGGACATGCATGCATTCTTGTTATCTGTGAGATTGAATTATACTGTATTCTCAAAAACATCTTTATTCTTATTATTTGTCAGACAATTCCTTTTCCACTGAAATTTGATGTCAAGTTGGCAAATCAAATCCTCAAAGATGAATCATTGTGCCACTTTGTGGACTGTATACATCTTACCTTCTCCATGTGTTTATGAAGTTAACACAAAATTTAGGTAATTTGATTTTTTTTCCTATATAAATCAAATTCTTCACTATGATCAAATGAGATATATTTTTAAGTTAACCATAATTCAAGCACATATTTCCTCACATTCTTTCACCACTAAAATCTAGATATTAGAAAAATATTTCATACTTAAACTCAGTGTCTTGCAAGGAAATAAACCCAATACTATTTAATTAAGACTATTGAAAACTTGATATTTGTAGTATATTAATACATAGTATATTAGGGCTTAATATAGGTTTTATTTTTTTTAATAACTTAAATTTCTTGGATGAGTGATAATCCAATATATATATATATATGTTCCATTAATCTTCCACAGCACGGCAACCGCCGAACCGCCCCCTCTATAAAAGAAGGAAGCTACCGATCCTTTTCTTCGTTGGAGCTCTCTCTCTCGTTTGAAGGGGGATCCGATCTTTCCTTTGGTTCGAGCGAAGTAACGCGAGAGAGAGAGAGAGAGAGAGAGAGAGAGAGAGAGAGAGGAAGATGCTGGAGCTCAGGCTGCTGCAGGGCGGGCTGCTGAAGAAGGTGCTGGAGGCGATGCGGGAGCTGGTGACGGACGCCAACTTCGACTGCTCCCGGTCCGGCTGCTCCCTCCAGGCCATGGACTCCAGCCACGTCGCCCTCGTCGCCCTCCTCCTCCGCTCCGACGGCTTCGACCACTTCCGCTGCGACCGCAACCGCTCCATGGGCATGAACCTCAACCACGTCGCCAAGCTGCTGCGCTGCGCCGGCAACGATGACATCGTCACCCTCAAGGCCGACGACGACGGCGACACCGTCACCTTCATGTTTGAGAGCCCCAGTCAGTAATCGCCCTAATTCTTCCCCCTTCCCGTCTCTCTCTGTTTCCTTGCTTATTGAATTGCTCTTCGCCAATTTTCTTTGATTTGCGTGTTGCAGTTGGTTGAGCCCAGTGGTACCGGTCCCAATTGTGTGTGCTCGAGATGGTGTTAGGTACCTTTTGTAGGTTGCTCTTTCGGAACGATATAACCTAAAACCATAGACATTCTGTTTATACGAGACTCACGCTCTGATCGAAGAATCTGAGTATTTACCTCGATAGTATGAGAATGATCGAGAAGAATACTGTTCTCTTTACAGTTACCCTGCAAATTACGAATGGCTTAAGAGATTTTAGGATGAATTGGGTGTGGCTTTCTCAACTTAAAACATTGTTAGAAAGGCTCTTTACAGCCGAGCATCCATGAATATGTAGGTGTTATTGTTGTGTTATTCTGATTACCTCAGCAATTCTTAGTATTGTTGTGTTACAGTGATGAACCAAATTATTTACTGGAGGTGTTAGGACTGACAATATCCTATTTGTTTTTCTTCTTTCTTCTTTTTCCTTTTTTTTTTCCATTTGATTGTTCATCTCACTATTGTTTGCTTTCATAGTTTGTTGTATTTTAATTACAATTTTTCCAAAAAAAAAAAAGATCTCAAAATGAATAATTAGGGTGCTTCAGACCGGTACCAGACAGATGCAGTACTCCTCTAGGAAGTGTTTAGTTAGTGTTCTTTCTTGGAATGTGTATGTGGATCACATTATTATTTTGGAAGTTGGATATGCAGTAGTTAATAAGAAATTATGGAAACTGAGTTGTTTGAAGGACATCTGCTTTTACTCTCTTTCATCGTCCAGTCAATCCTTTTGATTGTCATTGGATATTGCATTTTTGAAATCCTTGACTATCCTTTTCACTTATGCTAATTATGTTCATACTGCTCCTGGATTCACAGAGCAGGATAAGATTGCAGATTTTGAAATGAAGTTGATGGATATCCAAAGTGAGCACTTAGGCATTCCTGAAGCAGAATATCAAGCTATTGTAAAGATGCCATCACAAGAGTTTGCACGAATTTGCAGAGATCTGAGTACCATAGGTGACACTGGTAGGGTCTAACTCCAAACCATAGCTGCTTTTATGCATCACATATCATAATTTTTTTGGTTTCATAGGTTAGTCTTGACCCAATGAGGCAATGACAATCACATTATTCTAATATTTACCATGTTTGCAGATTTATTTTTTTATTATTTTACTGCTGGTATAAGAACGATTTTCCTGTGGCAATGACAACCATATAGTTATAATGTTTATCATGTTTGCA